ACACGGCAAGTTTTTTTTTTTTAACTTATACTAATGGGGACACAGGGGACAATACGATACTCATTTTCACCTGAGCGAGCAGTTTTTAAAAATTTGTAAAAGCTTCTCAATTCAGCCTTTGGCTGCAAAAAGCTTCTAACCTACTGTACAATGTATGTATGAAGTATGTGTTTCTGCAAATAAACCAGTCTATATATCTATATATATATACAAAGAAGTTATGATGCGCTCGGACACAGCATCACCATTCAACGATAGGGCATCGACCATATCAAATGCATGACAACGAGAGTATACGAGACAGAAACATGCGTCGGCGAACCCCAATTCCAAACCTGTTATAAGCTTAGCATGAAAGTTCATCTGTGTTGGTACAGGTCATAATGAAATAAACTCTATGCTTTTAATTTCCAACACTAAGACTACAGAAATGGGACTTACCCTAAATTTTCGGTTGACTCCATCAACCTTGTTCACGGAATGGACACGTCTACTCTTGGAACGTGACCCTGAACAGAGAAGGGGGGCGACACAAGTTATCTGGCACGTATGACCCGCTACTACGGTCACGTGTCTCTGACGTCACTATCCAAAAGTATACGGGTCCATTCCATGAACAAGGTTGATGGAGTCAACCGAAAATTTAGGGTAAGTCCCATCTCTGTAGTCTAAGTGTTGGAAGTTAAAAACTTAGTCCTTATTTCATCCTGTCATAAGTTATTTCGTTGTATTCTGCTCCGAATCCTCCTTGTAAAAGCCGGCACATGTCAGCTCAGGAGTGGCGTTACCAGGGCCCCAGAACACTTCCATGATCACCAGTATGTCTTCGCCTTCGTTGTTTTTACCGACATTCACCTGTAGGTAAGTGTGATATTTTTAGTTGAATAAAGGATATTTGTGTTTAGGGAACTCAGAAAAATGCCGATTCCATTCAGGGGAGGGATCACTAAATGAGGAATATTTACAAATTTAAATAACGTACCACAATTTTGTAGTTCATGCCATCAACAACCTGTGCCTGGTAGAACACAGGGACATAACGTGCAAACCCGTCGTTTGTCAGACGCTCCTCGACTTCTCCCCTGAACTGCAGAAATGGTATAATAAAAAGAAGCATTTAACCTTTCATGAAAAGTTCATCTGTGTAGGTTGTTATATATATATAAGGTAAAACTTTTGTTCCAACACAAAATGAGACTCAAAGGATGCTCTCTCAACCGCGACGGGGGCCGATACCGTTTACCAAAAACTATTAACCCAGTGTTGAAGCAACACTTTGGAGAAGCCACGTGGCAAGCTTCACTGGGTCAGTCTACCAAGGAAGAACAGAGGGAGTGGTCGACTGGTGAAAAGTTCTTGGTAAAAACATTTCTCTATTTGTGTTGAAACAAAAAAAATACTTTTTACAATTCTTGGAACCTCAAAGCCGATGAGAGCGTGCAAATAAAATAATGTTTTGCAAAACAAAAGTTCGTTTAATCATTAGTATCGTCTTGCAATATTTTCTAATATCCAATTTACGGCAATTTTTGGCATATATTTGCACCTTCTTTGTAACATTTACAGTATGGTCGAAAATATTCTTAGAAACGGACAAAAATCCATACGCGTGCGGATGTCATCCATATAATAAAATCAATATGGCCTCAATATGTATAATAATAATATGCAAAATCTCACCGCGATACAAGTCGCATAGACCCTCTGAGCCTCGGTGAAAGACACGTTCGGGGCTCCAGGCACATCTAACACGTTGTTCAAAGTGCCAGGCACATCTAACACGTTGTTCAATGTGCCGAAGGCATTCACAGTTGTTGGCTATGCATGAAGAAAGGAAAAAGAAGTACCCATTTATAATAGTTAAATCAAAAGCAACGTCTCAGGGATGAGCCTAATGGTACAGTATTGTGTGCAGTTTGCAAGAATTCTAGGAATGGTACAGGCATTTTGTCTACAGGAATGGAATGTCCACAGGCATATTTTTGACTCACATTTATGCCCACATTCCTGGAAACCCTTGGGAAGACCTCTCTGCCCCGAATGGTCCTACTTTCTGTGACCCCTGGGCTCATTCACTATACACTCAGGGGAGGAGTGCACTGTATCTGTCTAGACTTAACAGGTACCAAGTCTTCCTCAAAATGATGGCAGTGCCATGCAAACAAAAACCCTGACAGCAACCACCGTCGCCATGGCAATGTATGTTTTCATTGCCAGTCTTGTTGCATATGCATGTGTGCTTAGAATTTGTCACAGCATCAATTGTGTGTGCCTAAGAGCCTGTGTGTGTACGGCTACTATATATATTCCGCTCTCCCTCAACGTTTAAAAGTGATGCGCAGCTGCAATGTCATCTTTAGCCTTTAAAAAGATCGCAGCCAATGACAGTTATAAATAGAATAGACATACTTGTAAATCTATGGGATGTACATTTCGTCAGGTTTATGCTTTCTTCACTTTCCCACTACACTTACTATGTTTCTAAAAAATACCACTACACTAGGTTTAATTAGTGACTTGAAAGAAACTATGGCCGCAGCTTTCGACTAGGATGATGAAAAAAGATAAAATAAAAAACAGTTCGTCGTTGACAATTTTCGACCCTTAGAATCAAAATTTTGTACATTTCAATGAAAATGAGCCATATATATATTAATCTTTAATGTTCTAAATATAGTTCGAAGCAACATTATATTGTTATCGAAGCAACATTATATTGTTATCTGCAATATCAATATGCCAATAAAGAAAGGAAACAAAGTTAATTGGTGATAACAGATATTTACCTTGGCAGGGTCATGAAACCAGACTCCACTGTTTGACTTATACTTGAATTCGTACCGCCCGGGAGCAAGCTCTAGGACAACATCATGCTCATCACTATTGTCTCTGCAAAAAAAAAAAAAAAAAAACTAGATAAAAGCATGCGCACTGATTGGTTAATATCCAAACAACACAATTAGCCATACAGTAATTGGAGGTATCTACTGTTGATTCTGAAAAACAAAACTTGCTTTTTCCGTGCTCCTAGTCGTTCTGCAAACTGCGAACAAACGCCACAAATCACGTATAAAACAATGCACATCGGTTAACAACTAAACATAAATAACCATACAGTAAATCAAAGCTTCTACTGCTCATTCTGTTCAAACTATATAGCTAGAAACGGCAAAATTAGATTTTTGACTTTAACTTATTGATAACCCCGACAATAGCCCTCCCGGTGTCCGGCAGCCCAATATTTTGACATGACATATTTGCACAGAACAAAATTTTTCGGTTGCCTACCGGCACACCCCAGGACCAAAACAGGTTAGCGCCATTTGGGTTAGCGCTGCTGGAAGTTGTTTGAATGACAATTAAAAAAAATAAACCAAAGAAAGAATATAATTCAAATAACCTAATGATGTGGACTTGGGAGACAATGAGACAAGGGAACTAAAATGCTAGAACACTATTGGTTGAACATAAAAATAAAAGCAAAAATAAAAAGGGTAGATGTAAATAATAGTAGAACTACTGTGACAATTTACATAATGTAAAAATAATATAGACAAATCAGGACTATATCATAAGAACCCAAATGTGATCATGATTATCATGAGTGGGAGGTCATGCCCGCGCCCCCCCCC